GGCGGGCGGCGGCGTGGGACCCGGCGGGCGTTCCGGGAAAGGGGGCGGGGGCCGGGGGCGGGGGCCCGTCCGAGGGGGCGGGGCCTAGTGGGGACGGGGCCGCGAGCGCAGCTATAGCTGGGAATGGTAGTTTCTGGGGCCGGGGCGTGGCTGTGGTCTGAGGGGCGGGGCCCTCGCGCCGTTTCCACAAAATCAAACTCGCTCTGCTACAAAGTACAGCGCGGTTCTGGAGAAACCCCAGGACCCCAGTCCTGCAGCTGCAGCTTCCAGCCTGCGATCCTCTGTGTGTCTTTCAAATATGTGAGCCCATTTCCTCACCTAAAAGTATGTGTTCCTTACAAACTACTATGTATAAAATAAATAAGCTGCAAGGATGTATTGTACAACTTAGGGGAGATAGCCAATATTTTACAATAACTTTAAATGGAGTATAATCTATAAAATTTTTGAATCACTATGTCGTACACCTGAAACTAACATAATATTGTAAATCAACTATGCCTCAATGAAAATAAGTAAATAAGTAACATAAGGAAGGGAGGGTATAGCTCAGTGGTAGAGTTCCAGCTTAGCAGGCATGAGGTCCTGGGTTCAATCCCCAGTACCCCCATTAAATAAATAAATAAATCTAACTACACCCCCCGCCCCCCAAAAAATCTCAACAGCATGTTCAGTTAAAAATAGCAAATTTTATTGCATGTAAATTATACTGCAATAAAATGAAAAAGGGGGCAAAACATGGAAAATATTTTAATAATTTTGTTTTAGAAAGTACTTGACTACAAATAATTCACTTGATTTGTGATTAGATCAGGTTTGTCGTCAACAGACATACCTAAGAATATTTATGAAATGAGAACTATCTGGCTGATAAATTGTTTACAAATGTCCCAAGAGGTTTTGTGTGGGGTTTTTTTTTTCCAACAAGACAAATCATGCTTTATTTAATTAAAACTGGTGAGTGTGGCTGGTATGTGGCAGAAGTATACAGGGCTGGTGATGAGAGGGTCAGTGGTCAGCACAGCAGGGACATAACTCAGGATGGAGGTGCCAGAGGTCAGATGTCTTGGAAGTGGGCAGTTCTTTGGTAGCTTATCACCTGCTCCCCCGGAGGTTTCATGAGGCTCAAGCGCCCCTGCATGTTCCAAAGGACTGACCAGCAAGGAAAGGCTGGTCTTTGCAAGCCTAGGGAGGCCCCGTCCCCAGGAACTGCAGGAAGTCTTGGAGACAGGATGGAAGCACCTGCACAGCAAGCTCCAGTTTGGCCCCTGAGATGGGGATGTCCAAGGTGGAGAAAGATCCAAAAACTCTGAAACATTGCCTTTTGGCTCCATCATCCAAAGTTGAGCAATGCCAGTAGCAGAGCCTGGTGGGTCGCCAAATGGATTCAGCCCCTCCATGCCACATGAAATAGGCCAGAAAGAGAAAGACAAATACCACATGATACCACTTATATGTGGAATCGGAAGTATGACACAAATGAACTTATTTATAAGGCAGAAACAAACTCACAGACATAGAAAACAAACATATGGTTACCAAAGGGGAAAGGTTGGGGAGGGATAAATTAGGAGTTTGGAATTAGCAGATACAAATTATTATACATAAAAGAGACAAACAACAAGGTCCTACTGTTTAGCACAGGGAGCTATATTCAATATCCTGTAATAAGCCATAATAGAAAAGCATGTGTATACATATATGTTAACTGAATCACCTTGCTGTACACCAGAAACTAACGCAACACTGAAAATCAACTATACTTCAATTTAAAAAAAAAATTTTAACCCTCTCCACTGCAAAGTAAAAAGTAAAAACAAAATAGATGTTTGGGATTATAGGAGGTTGGCTTGAAGGGGTAGGCAGCTGGCAAAAGATGTGGCCGAAGAGAAAAATTTTTCAAAAAAGCAATAATACCAACTATGCTATTATAGTTGCTATATATAATAATACCAGGTATGGTTATTGAGTACAGTTTATTGAGTAGTGTGTGCCAAATATTTAATCTGCACAACAAATATAAAGAATAGGTTTGCTGTTGGGGATGTGGCAAGGGTGATTGGGTCTGGTGAGAAGTTTCTCCCCTTCCTGAAATTGCAGAGGCTCAGAGCTCCTGGACCATGGAGTGGGCAAGACCTTAGAAAGGGAAAAGTTCCACAGAGGCTGTGGTACAGAACCCCAGGCCTGGACCTAAACAGATCTTGTTTCAAATTTCCTGCTCCACCTTTGGATGTATACCTTGAGCAGTAACTTCCCCTCTGTCAACTTCTGGCTCCTCTTACCCATCAAAATGATGAAGACTTAGTTTCTTTCATATGTAAAGAGCTCTTATGAATCAATAAGAAAAAACTCTCACACACACACCCCCACCCACAAGGAGAGAGGGGAGCCTAGGCAAAGGATATGGTGGGCAACTTTCAAAGAAAGAAAGTCAACAAACACATGAAACTACTCAGCCATACTGGGAATCAAAGAAATGCTCATTAGGATAATGACAAGATGATATTTTTCACCCATCAGATTGGCAAGATCAAAGCAATGATAATACCCAGTGTTGGCAAGGATGTGGTAAAACAGGTACACATACCTGCTGGCAGAGTGTCAATTAGTACAGCTTTCCTAAACTACTGCTATTCAGCAAAACATGGCAAAACCGTCTGTGCCTAGCTTTGACCCAGCCATTCCCTTTGGAAGAATTTATGCTAAGAGAATAATTGGTCACTGGAAAAGAAACATACATAGGAAAATGTTCCTCTCTGTAGTAACAAGTAATTCATGGCAAGGACCTAGCCCACAGTAAGAGCCAGAGCGCGCTGGCTGCAATGTTGTTATTATAAAGAGAACAATGCATGCAAATTCATTCCCCTGAGGACCTCCTACTTGATTCCCACACGCACGCAAAGTGTTTAGAATATCTCTTTGGACTACCAGGTAGGCTGAGCACCCCTTTATCATTGTTGATGTTGTTAATAAATTCCTGATGATCATTGGTGCTGTCCCAGGTGCTGAGAGAATTCGCCCTCAATGCCTTCTGCTTTCCCCATCTGAGGGCTTATAGCACCCAATTCCCTCCCTCCCTCTCTCTCTTCTCTCTGTCTTCTCTCTCTCTTTTTCTCCCTTCATCTTCAGAGCCCTCAGCTGACATGGAAAAACAAGTTTAAGTACCATGCTGGACAGATCACATACAGAAAAGTTCAGATGAAGGAGGAGCCCTGATTTCCCAAGGCTCCAGCTATTTGAGTCTTTCCAGCCCAGATGCCACCCAGCTTCCAGCCCACCCCAGCCATCACCAAATGGAGTAGAGATACATTGCCTCCACCAAGCAGATGGCTCCCCTCTCTCCCTGTTGGGTGAAGGGGTGAGAATTTTTTCTTATTGATTCATAGAACTCTTTACATATGAAGGATACTAACTCTTCATCATTTTGGTGGGTAAGAGGAGCCAGAAGTTGACAGAGGGAAAGTCATTGCTCAAGGTATACATCCAAAGATGGAGTAGGAATTTGAAACAAGATCTGTCTAGATCCAGGCCTGGGGTTCTGTACCATAGCCTCTGTGGATGCAGAGATATGATGCCTCTATGCAGATGGCAGATTCGTGAGCAAAAATAAATGTGGCCCTTGTCCGAAGGCATTAGGTCTTGGAATGATTTGTCACATGGCCATAGTAGATGGAACAATTGATTTGCTTGTTTGTTTGTTTGTTTGTTTAGTACAGGTGCTGAGTGCAGCATATGCACAGCTCCATAACTGGGAGGAAGAAAGGGAAGAGGGGAGGAGGGCCAGAGCATGGTTAGGAGGGAAGAGTGGTGAGGAGGAAGAAAGTCAGGAAGGGAGTTAGTGAGTTTCCCTGGAGTTAGACAGGCCCCATACTAACAGCTGATCTCCCAGCCCAGCTACAAGGCAGGGAGGGTAACTGAGAGCTCATGAGAGACAGAGGACCCCTCTCTGTAATAAGGATGAGAAAATTTCCTGCAGGAAGTGGTGGTGATCACAGCCATATGAACAAATAGGATTTCCTCAGGCCAGGAAGGGAGCTCCAAACTGTGAGATTAGCTTAAGCAAAAGATAGCACACAGGTACGTGCAGAGCTGGAGGCGTGTAAGGTGTGGCAGGGGTGGGAGGAATGAGGCTGGAGTGGTTGGAAGATGGAGCCAGATTATGGCTCTTGTGCTAGGCTGAGAAGCCTGACTTTGATTCAGAGGGCTCTGGGGAGCCACGGAAGAGTAATGAGGAATGGAAGGCCATGAGCAGATCTATGGGGAGCCACGGAAGAGTAATGAGGAATGGAAGGCCATGAGCAGATCGATGTTTTAGGAATTTTGTTTCCAGCTGAGATATAGAATATGGACTGAAAAGAGACACAAGGGATGTAGGAAGAGCAGACTTGGGGACCTACTGGGGAAAGTTGACCAGTTGTTCCCCAACATCCATACTTCCTTTCTTGCTCATAGTACCAGACCCACTAGTTTATAGCTGGGTGCATGAACACCCAGGATAAAGAATCATCTCCCAGCCTCCTTTGCACCTAGTTGTGGCCATGTATGTAAGTTCTGACCAATAGGATGTGAGCAGAAGGGACGTGTACTTAAAAGAAAAACGCACTCCCCCCTTTCTTCCTTTCTTTTGGCTGGAAGGCAGATCTGATGGCAGGAGCTGAAGCAGCCTTCTTGGACCATGAGGTGGAAACCCTATTTTGGCAGAGAAATGAGATAGAAGGAGCCTAGGTCTCTGAGGATCACAGAGCTGCCAAATGGGCTCCAGGTCAACTGTGAGAAATAAGCTTCAACCTGATTTAAGCCACGAATAGTCTGGGCCCGTCTGTTAGAGCAGCAAGCTTCCCCATCTCAGAAAACAGGAACTGTACTCTTCCAATTGCCTAGAGCAAAACATGGAGTCACCCCTGTATCCTCTTTTTCTCTCACAACCTGCCAGCCCTTCCTTCAAATTATAACCACAATATGAGCACGCCTCAG